GCTGGAAATGATCGAACACACATTTCTTAAGATGTCGTGCTCATTTCCCAGATGCCAAGATTTTCGATTAGGACTTGGTGGGTGCAGTGCAATTGCTATTTATACTGTTTAGCTAAATATTTATCCTGTACACGAACACAAATAATACATTTGGGTTTATGTGTTCTAATTTAAAATATTTTTCAAGAACCTCCACCAAATTTGACATTTATAACAGTATTGAAACAAAGCCAAGCCTTCTCAGATGAATGAAGTGCGATTGCCCATCAGTGCCGATGAAAAAGGGTATATATGTCTGAAAGTTATAAAACAGAATAACATTACAAGTACAGCTGTAGAATTGATCGCAGGAGTTTTTAAAATTAGTCCATGATTTTTAAGCACTTCCAACGGAATAGGGAGTAATTTTCTTTTGTTGATGCTATACTCTTATCACCTCCAAAACGACATCACGGATTTGAAGCGAGACGTTGTTTAACTTACAAGGCGTTACTCTGAAGCACTAAAATACAGTACAAACAGAGCGTAAGTAAAATAGCTACCTTACTTTCTGAAAAGGACCCTTTAAGAAACCTGAAAATCTTTCACCTTTTATTCTTTAAACCAGTTTAACAAGTGTTTGCCAGAAAAGATAGCACTTCTGTTGACCCACGCTCAGGGATAGTTAAGGGGGTAATCTCAGGGAAGCAACATAGTAAAGGTAGGAAACTACCAAGAAAACCAACTTCAACAAGAGGTGATGACATTCTAGGGAAAAAGATGGTCTGGTTTAATTAGAGTTAAGCATTAGGCGTTATTTCGACATTAAGTAAAATAATCCTCAAGGAAACGGTGTATCAAAATTAAGAAAAAAACTACGAAATAGGCAAAACTTTCAAGTTGTTCAAAGCAAATTTAAGCAGAGGAAGTTACTTAAAAAGTTAGATCCTTTGTGTCACTTATACGCAAAATGCTCTAAGTGTAGCCAATTACTGGTTCCATGCCTTTCACGTATTACTATTCGCTTATGTATTTGCCAAAAACTTCGAATCGTCTAAAAGCAAGCTGGGAAAACAAACTTTTCGGCAGTGTTAGGAGTCATAGTAAATATCACAAACTTTTATAGCTAAAATAATCTATCAGGATTATAAAGTTAATTAGACAGTGGCAATTCTAAACCATTATAGTAGTCTTGGTGTTTCTTCCACTAAATCTGCATACCTCTAGAATGAGCAGAAGTGTTAGACGTGGACATCTGTTGCTGGGTAGTGATAATAAACGGGGTAGAGTGAATTCCCTCCTTAAGGGCCGATGGCGCCCAATCTGTCACCTATTTTGGGTTTACTGACCCCATCTTGCCTAAAAAATCATTTGAACAAACATATATTCCACTACAGATCCGTTCAAAGAAAAGATAATAGAAAATGCTTGTTTATAAACTTATAGCTTAAGCAATTTCATGATTTTTCAAGGTAACGACGATTACCACAACTACTCTCTTGTAGAAAGTTACTTAAAAGGTAAATCTATTTTAAATTCTGTTCAGTTTGCGAAACTCATGACAAAATTCTACTACATGTAAGAAGTAAAGTTTTTCTATTCAGCAGATTCTTTTGACTTGTGGAACACTTATTAAGACATTTGTTTCCACTGTTATAAGTAGTCTCATTTAAAATACAATTAAAATACTTTGATAGTTTTTTATCTCTCTTTCTTTTGGTCTCGCAAGCACTTAAGGCTCCACCTTTGTACTTCCGTTGGGCGGAACAGCCTCTGGACCGTGTTAGTGACCCCTACCTACCTCTTCTATGCGTTGGTAGTACATATCCTACCCAAGTATTATGCCTCTTTTAGTCTCGATACTAGACTCAGGGAGCTACAGTAACTATCGTATCTATGTCAATGAAAGTTATGGCGCCGTTCACGAGTAGATGCATGCCTGCAAGATATAAAAATCCTGGTGTTGAGGATTTGGCAGGACTTCAGTAGAGCTTTTGAATTTTTCTCTGAAGATACACTTGTAAAATGTGGAGCTGTTTTAGCAGGTGAAAAGCGATCAGTGAATGTGTAGGAGTATCAGAAAGCAGAAAAAGGCTCTCCCCCTTTGGAAAAGCATTTTTATCTATTTCCCAAAGTAAATTTTAAATTTTAAAATTCAGTTCTGTTCATCAAAAAATATTCGATAAGCTTATAGCAAAGCTGATTTTGGAGCTAGCAAGTATTGTTGAGAACTTAAACACAAATATTTCACCCTGGACTATCCAAATGGCATTATTTTCTCAGAAATTACGTATGTATGTGGCAAACAATGTAGTCTATCATGTACTGAAAATCAGTTTCTCTGATAGAAAATGTTTTATATATCACCAGTGGCAAATATGCAGCAGCACCTTTACTTGTGCATGAAACATCTCAGCTATGCCTACCCTGTTTCATCAACCAAAACGCTTTGTAGTGTCGCGGCAACAGGAAATTCTCCCTGAAGTACCGTAAATGTGACCCTAGTTTGTCGGCACTTTCCAGGCGATTGGCAATGCCATGTCAAAGCTACTCATTTTCTGACTAATCGTGTAAATAATGCCATATTCGCTTCATTTACTGAGCTGAAGTGAATGACTTTCCATCCCATTTGATTCACTTATGAACAGGCAAAACAGCGAAATAGGGGGAACCTTTAAAAACGTACAGCCTAGGTAAGACAGTAAATAATCTGGTTATGGCACAGTACTTATCATTATTTGAAGAGGTTGTAGGACACATTCGTCGGTAAATAAGGCTGATGCATGTGTGAAAAAAATGGAAATGGAGACCTCCGAAACTGAAGGTGAGAGGTCACCTTTCACGCTGCAGTGGATTGAGACAATGTAACTAAATCGCCTTATTTCGAGGAGATTACCGATTTCAACGGTGGATCTCCTTTTACCACTATTTTGGAAGACATCGTATCTCATAGGAACAAATTGGTCTCATAGAAAGCTCATCAAACGTTTTGTGTATTTTAGGCACAAATATTAATTAAAACAACTTTTTTGACATGTTAGCCACAAACGTCATAAGTGTGCTACGCATCCATTTTCCTACCTATATCCAACGTTTGGAATAGGTAAAGTCAGCTCTTTGTCCGTTCACCATAGCCGTTTGAGCTAAACCGTGTTGTAAACCGATGATGTATCTACAGAATGATCTTACTATGAGGAAAGATACTTTCCCTGCATGATAGATGGTGTTTGATTGGTTATATACTTAGTGGCATTTGGTGTGGTACTTAAGCAATAAAATCGCATACACTGACAGTGAAAGTAATACAAGGAAATCTATTTTCTTCCTCCTTCCTAATTTCATGCTAAACGTGAACTACAAATTAGTAATTAATGATGAAATACTCAATGTGTTGACAGTGATTTCAATTAATTAATCTAGATCCAGTCCGTCCAAATTTTACCATTTGAAAGTATTTAAAATGGATTTTTGGCCAATTTCAAACCACTAACTCAGAGACTACTTTACTTTTACACTCCATAATGTTGTGCTTTAATTGTATCGTTTCATTAATTTCATTTATATCAGGGATACGTTTTGGTAGCATTGGCATGGTCGGAAGTGAGGTCAGTAGGGCAATCAGGTGGGTATAGAGGGGGAGAGGCAAAAAAAGTAGATTGCACCCAGGCCGTAGGGGCTTCAGAGGGAAAAAAATGCCCCACTGCACGTCTAGACAGCGATGACGCGACGGGTGGGTCATCACGTGGCAGTAAACACAAGAGAGGGTGCAACAATGACAACAACGAAATCTGAAGCGGCGGTAGTGAGAAAAAGTGGTAGCGGACACAGTGAGGTGACGCATACATGGTGAAACGTTTTTTCTCTTTTTCTCGTTGAGGCACATACAAACAGGTCTTTTTTTCTTCCCAAATGGGCTGCTCTGATGAGGCACTGCTGGCTTATTTTCCAGTGAGAAAATTGTAGTCCCAATTTTTGACAAAAATGTGCTTTGTTAAAGGCGAATAGATGTTGAAGAACCTTCTAAGGTCAAAAAATAAGATTTATACTCATTTCGATTATAGAGCTAAATTGCTGTTAAGCTGCCTCTAACCGACATGGCAGGTTTGTTTCTCCCTTACCGTGCATCATTTTTAATTCAGTTTTGTTTGTGTGGTTGGAGTTCATAAGGGTAGCAGCTACTTGGAGTATGAGCTGATGGCAGACGAATTGTTGATGTAGAAGAGGTTTGGCTTTTAGAAAGATCGGAGAGAAGAAACCTTGTGAAGGACCAAAATTTAAAAGCAGTTATTTAAACAACCCATAAAATATAAAGCTGATCAAGTTTTGTACTAATATTTGGGATACGAGTCGTTGTTGAAGTTGCTGGGAGTTTTAGACAGGCGCTCCGGTTGGAAATAGCTCTGACAAGACCATTCAAGCTCTACCACATTAATTCGTTTTTCACTTTCCATGCCTATGCATCCTTCATAAGACTGTTTTCTCTGTCGGAACACATAAGGGCAGTTGCTGTGGTAGATTTGGGCTGAAGATAGTTGATTTAATGTAGCAAAAATGTATTTATTCAAAATTTAGGCCACTGATAGATCATCTCATAATGGTCATGTAAAGCACACATCCCTCTTAACGCGGCGTAACTTGCATAATTGAAACAGAGAAATCTCGCCTCAGAAGACACCATAAAGTGATTTAGAAATTGGCATCAATCATTGAAAGCATACTACTGAAAAGTTGGTGATTGTGAATATAAATAAATCATGAATGAATAATTACCTGCCATCACTTTGGAATGCTTAATGTCCAAACTCCAATAGTGTGTGCCTTTTCCTTCTCTTTTGTCTCCGGACAAAACCTCTTGATTCGTCAAATTTTGCCTCTTGCATAGGAAGAGGGAGGCTACTTCCAGCCATAGCTTGAACTCCACACTGGTTGTGGAAGTTAGCACATCAGTCCAAAGAACGATGATCGCCAATTTTTAAACTAATTGTTGCCACTATTTCTGGTGTATGGCCAGAATTCTACTTAAATAATGCATGCAGTTATATTTAAGGATTCACTTAAAAAGCTGTAAAAAGCATTTTAAGCAGAACGCATTTGAAGTATTTCTCACAAGTTGCCAATAAAAGTTTTGATACATTAGCATGTTCATTAAATAGTTTGTTGGAAGTAGCAAAAATCTCCCCCTTTTAACAAGAAAAAGTGGTGTACACTGAATGGCGTGGCATCCTGTCATTATTCATGTAACGTTTGACAGGTTCATGTTGAAGCTCTCATTGGTTACTCTTAACTGCGAGCTGTGACCTTTGAATTTCATGTCCAAAATTCTAATAATTAGTGACTTTTGTGCCATTTAAGTCTTGGTTGAGTGAGATCATTCCAGCTCTAAAACATCTCTTTCACAACGTTTTAGAAAGTATTTGCATTATCAGCCAAGTGATTTGCCCAAACATTATGGTTCAGAATTTAAATTAAATTTGTTTTTATTAGGTTGGAGCGTAGATAGCAAAAAGGTGACCCCAGATGATCAAAAAGTTCTTGAATTCCACTGCAACAACTTGTACAATGCGTGCGATTATTAGCTGGCATCCACCACGTTATCGCCACTCTTTGTCATCCTCTGAGCTACATTTCAGCTATTTTACATCTCCACAAAATGTCAGTTGCTTTTGGTGAGATTCCAGTTTGGTTACTCTACTCACAGAGTTTAACTCTATTGGAGAAAAATCATACCGAAATTTACTACAAAAGCTTCAAAAAAATATACTGGTAGTAGGCACAAACCAGAAATGATACAAAAAACATTTAGGTGTTAACTTATCCATGGATAGATACAGAGATGGATAGATACATAATGCTAAGGAAAACCCTTTATTTTTTATGATGAAGAGCTACGAGACGTCGCTATTGATGACTACAGAAATTCAAGAGTGAAAATGCATGAATAGCATTCAGTAGTGAGGTGATTTAACTTATTGACACCTACATCAAATGCAGAGAGTCGTGGTGTAAGCCAAACGGGTAGGTCTCAATCATGGGCAGCAAGTGGACAGGTGACAGGCAATCAGCTTGAAAGATTGTCAACTTGCTCTTCGATTCTTCCAATTGCACAAATAGCAAAGAGCCGCCCAATTCTTAAATTCTTTGCTGGCCGACTGAGTAACTAACAGATATAGTTGTCGCGAGAGCAAACTTCCACACTCCAAGTTTCATTAAGAGCAGGCATGTTGTTGATTTTCCCACAACTATGCACTCGTCAGGCCAACTATCCGTTCCACGGTTTTAGGGCACTACCTCAACACAATACAACACAAGGCTAACCTTGGTGGACACTTCGGGTGGTAGACGGAATTATTCATCAAGTACTTCTTACTGAGGGTTAAACGTTCGCAGCTTAGACCTAGGTGCTATTTGAAAGTGCTGAGGGTGCTGAAGGAAGACCAAATTCCCTTTCCAGAGTGGGGGATTTGGTGAATGCATAAGGAGAGAGCATCTTACATGCACCTAACATTCCACTGAGAAGACCCGTGTCATTCCAGTTATAGGATGAAGGGAGGGTAGGCGAGTGGAAAATATCGCCTCACCACATGTTCCGCACTACCCTCATGTGTCCAAGTGCTGATCGCCATGTTTTCTTGTTCTCACACAAGAGCATGATCCCATGCAAAGAATACTGGACGGTTAGTAGACAAAAGTGAAATGGATATGAATAGAGTAGGTTTCTTGACCTCCGAAGATATAAATAAGGGTTTTCAACGGCACAATTTTACCGAAATCTGATTACAGGCTGTAGGCTGCAGTTCTGGCAATTGTTGCAACAGAGGAAAAAATTAGCAATTCTTCACCGGCTATTTTACTTTTACTTAAAAATACCTTAACAAAAATATCGTACATTTGTGAAGGTGAGTTTCGCCAAATTGCAGTCACGTTTTTTTATAAGCAAACATTTCTTATTGTTTTAGTATCTTTAACTAGACATTTGATGTTCCCGTTGTGCTCCATTCTAGAATCCGCCACCAACTTTGTCACCAGAGTCTTGGAGGAAAAAAATCAGCCACCACATTTTGGACATATTACTTATTATGCCACCTGTTTTTATGCTCTTTTTTTCCTAGCTAATTCTCCTCAGCGTCATCAAATGACATGTGTCATGCGGCCTCGGATTCGTATAGTTGGAACTTACGCACGTGACTTGTGACCGTTTTTCATTGTAAGTGGAAAATGTTCCTTAATAATGACATCAAAGAACGATTCATTCACAACTACCTAGTGTCTGATCTTCTAGGTTAATTAACTTTCATGAGATTTATCCGACTTTAATTACACCATCAGCCTTCCCAAAACTATACCCGTCCATCTTATTCAGCCAGTGCGTCAAAACCAGCATTCTTTGTACCGTATCTAATGCACAGGCACAAAAATCTGCAAAACAGAGTATGAAAGCAGGCGCAGTGTGAGACAATGGTAGTGTTTCCCCACACAGAGAGTCAGTCATTTTTTTTACCTAGGGAAAGAGAAAAGTATTGAGTCACTATGCCGCTGAAAAGACATTGGACACCTCAAGCCTGCGGCTTTTAGTGACAAGAGAATGATAAAAACTACCAATGCCACATACGTAGGAATGAGGTGTAGTGTAAAAACAATCTCGTGCATTGCCCATTTTCTCTCTTTTTTCTCCGGCTCTCTACAACGATTGGGTCCACCACACACTTTGAGGCTTTTCTGATTTACTACAGACGAGGCTTTGAATCACTGTCCAGGGTTTAGTCACTATTCGAAAAAATAGATTGGACTTGCAAATGTTAAAGATACACCTTCTTCTTTACAGTGCTATTTAAATTGTCCAGTGGTGAAGAATTGGACATTATTTGTAGTTACAGAACAAAGTTATTCGGATTTTAAACTGTTCAAATCGGATGTTAATAGAGATTGCAGCAAAAGGGATTCTTTATTTATTACTTTGTACGTCTAACACTTGAGACTTTGCCCCTGTACATCCGCTAGGTGGCATACCCTGGACCATGCCGATAGTCCCCAGACCTTCTCTACAAAGGCAATCCATATTCTTTAGGGAAGAAGTCTTAGAGCTCTGCATTGGTAGCAGTTGTGCGAGAAATTTATCCTAAGGATAACTACCCTGATTTTTATTACTGAATGTTAAATCTAAACGTAATGGAAGAAGGTTGGGCACTGCGGATGAGAGTACTTGTAACGACCCTTAATAGAAGGATTGGAAATAATGTCTACCTCGGCAACCGCCCCATCTGGAAAGATTCGTTACGGATCTGTCACTGGTATCTGAGTAAAAATGCAAACTCAGTAAACCCGCAAAACCTCCTCCATCTTTTCATCAGCTAAATGGAACCCAACACTGAAGTGCAAACAAAGTGGCGAGGAACAACAAACGCGAAACCCTACCTTTTGAAACCATTTTTAAACCCCTCCCTCAGTAAATGACTCCTCCTTCCCCTAATACAGTTTACAAACAGGGCTATACTCTAATCCAGTGAATTTGTCAAGAGGAATCATGATGTTGCAGTCAGATACCTTCCCAGTTGCAGGCAATTTCGATGACTGGTGCTGTTAGTTTGTAGGTGTCTTTCTTACGGCACCTTCCACTTTGCGATAGTCGAGGCGGGAGCGCCGGGTTTGACGCTCAAAAGGGAAAAAGAAACTATGCTGTACTTAGATCACTTGTTTAACTCCCCGTATTCATTTCACGAGCACTTAAGGCGCCGCAGTTGTACTTCCTTTTGGGCCAAAAAGGCCTTAAGACAATGCTAGTAAATCTCAGACCTTCCCTTTGTCGGCAATGCCTATTCTGCCCGCGTGTAAAATCGTCTTTCGTCAACGGAGAAGTCCAGGGCAGCTACACTTAATGCTTAGTAATTTGGATAAAATAGCATTATTAAGACACTAAAATAGATCAGTGGTAAAACGGATTTTGCTGTTTTGAAACAGTTGTTTAAGTTTGTATTGCATTAAAATTTTAAACCATTGAGCACATGCAAATCTCGCTTAAATTGGACAATCAAACAAGCTGTTACCAGCATGTTATTTCAAGCCACTATTTCGACTCAAGCTTTCAATGAATATTTGTAAGTCTCGCTGTAATGTATTCTGCATAAGTGCAAAATTTTTGACTCGATTCTGTTGAATGAAATAAAAAAGGCTGGAGAAGCCGTATCTGAGGAATAAATTTCATTTTTTGTTCCTAGCTTTCATTACTGCTTTTAGCTCTTCATTCAGATACAAATTTGCAAAATTCTCCTTACACAAAATTTTGCTTTAATTCTTGGGTTCCAAACATTCCTCTTTGATATCAAAAAATAGCTTATCTTAAAGATGCCTAAATAACAATCATCAGTTATGCATTACATATTTTCAAGAATTTTCTATTTATTACTATAAAACAGAAGATACGAAAACTCCAAATGTTGTAGCGTCTCAATGCAAACAATTTTTTCTTTCTTCTCTGATTGTTGTTAGGAAAAAATTTTCTGTTTATCTTGAGAATAAAGTTGCTGAATAGAATATTAACATCTCTTCGTCTTCCATAAACTAGTAATTTAGAAAACTGGTTTTTTCCCCAAAAAATGGGTAACAAATGGTTGTAGAACCCAACCGAACTGTTGGTATATCTTGTGCCAGAGTTGACATTGCTACCAAGACCCATCCTTACTTCAAAAGCGCAAGAGTGTTGGTCATAAGGACTGCCACTTCGTAAGGACGGAAGTGTATGATTGTCGAAGACAAACACTCGATGTCAGTTTGACATTTAATAACCGTACGACTACTCGTGTTCTGGAGCAGAATCCTTCCCTTCATCATGCTATTTGAATGTTTTGTTTGGGTCCTAAAAAACAAGCTTGTAAGATTTTAGTCCTCTTCATTAATGAAATCGAAACAATTTTATAGAAATGTGATATTTTCCGTTTATGGGAATGAGCTGAACTATTTCTGACTGCTATGTTTGTATGCCTCTTCTGCATTACAGCAGCCGAAACATGCACCTTTAAATTCGTACAGCAAAATTACCAAATCACGTAATAACTTGACTCCAACAAAACAGGTAATTAGTACCAAAAAATACGGAAAAACATGCCTGATAAAGTCATATGAAATATAGAGAAAACAGTGCATTGGACTGCCAAATGATGGGTTGATGGGATTTATTAAAAAGTCATGCGAGACCGCTTCCATGCGGATGGAAAGGGGATGGCATGAATTATGCAGGTTTTGTCTAATTGATCCACTGCAGGAGGAGGTACATGCATTGCGTTGTTGAGACGAAGTCCGCAAAAGCAAAACTCATCCTAAAACGATGCTTAAAATCTCTTGGCATTCTTACCATATAGGGCGTAATAAAAACCAGAAGTAACCGCCTCATAAACAACTTGCTTTTCCTGAGGCAAAATTGCATTCCACTGATAGTTTAATTTACTCGAAATTCGGACGAATCACTGTATTTACATCTCTAACACGACACCTTCGACCTACCATCAGGTGTTCCCTATCTTGATCTTTATTCCCTACAGGACAAAGTAACAACAAAGACTGAGAAAAAAGCGTGACTTCTGTGAAACATTAATGTCACTGAATAACATGATCAGTCAACCACTTAGAATACAAGGTTTTGCGTGGTCTGCTGGTATATTGTAATACTTCAATTATTGGCTTAACTCCCGGGCCACTTAGGGCTCCGCCGTCGTACCATCCAAGGGCTGACTGGCCTTTGGGCTACGCCAGTAGCCTCGTACTCCTTACCATACGTCAAGAATACATGATCCGTCTAGGTATTATGTCTTCTTATATTTTATTTTTCTCTTCAGTTAAAGGATGCATTCTTAAAAGAAAATTCCGAAAAAATTGTGAGTTCTTTTATGGATTTACGTTTGCAAATAAACAATCGCCAAAAAAATTCTAAACTTGTTTAATCTCGATTAACTTTCAAAATTTCTAGGAGTAAATGCAATATTTTGGCCAGTAGAACTTCTTTAACAAAGGAATTGTTTAAAATTACATTGCAAATTAAATAACTGGTAATTGGCAACTTGAATCGACTGAACTCGTCAACACTTTGCGAAACTTTAGCGTTTGGTCCCGGCTTTACTACTAAGGACAGGTTCAAATCTCGTGGGATATTTAATGACATCTGGCAAATTTAAAACTTTTTAGGCTTTTCTGAATACGGTTGGATTTTAGTTAGAGGCAGAATGTTTTGATGTTTGCATACTAATAAAAATTTGTACCGAAAATATGCCGTTAATTTTATCTCCTCCTCCGCTTCCTCATTCACCTCTCCCTAATCACTTCGGCAGAATCAGTGGGTGGCCATCATTTCTGCAGAATTTTACACAAAAAGTTCAAATTAGTAATTTTCTTTGCAAAAGGCAAATGAAAAGTGTGTTTTATTTCCGTCTTCCTCCATTCTATTCTAGAGCCACAGCGTGAGAATAAACTGAGGTAATTTTAAGTCAAAGTTGTTTAGCTGCTGTATTTTGTGTATAAATTGGAGATCCGTAAATAGTAAAATTACTTCCGTGATGGGGTGGACAGTTGAATGCCTTTTTAAGTTTGCACGAGAACCATCAGCATTCTTATTCTGCCTTAATACAGTGGATGAAAAACTATAGCAGTAGGTGGGGTTAAACGAGGTGTAGGCTATCATTACGACATTGAAGTACAGAGATCGCAGTACTAACCTAAAAATCCGTTTTTATGGATGGATTTAACCAAATGTCGATACAATATAGTCAAAGGAGTCGTTTCTTGCAGTATAATTCCAAGATTTGAGTATTTTCAAATGTATTTTACGCTATAGGAAAATCGGAGTCCTTCCTGGCAAGAGAATTTGCTCAAATTAATTGCCAAAAAGCATAAAATAGTAAAATATGGATATTTTTACTACTGAAACAATTTACTCAATATTCAGACACATACGGCAGATGGGAGAATGGGAATTCAAAAAAGCAATAATGCCAGAATAACAAGGTAGCCAAGGGAGTACTTATGGTTTGCGATGTGCAAAAGCAACTACCAATAGTTTTAATAACGATTAATTAATTGAAACAGTTATTAGTACCATAGTCCATAATACGCTACCCTTCCCAATGGGGTACAAGCTTTAGGTGATTTACACTCTCATCAAGAATTTTGTCTCTGTCAGCCAAGAGAAAACAACCATGATCATAGTTATTTCCATTTAAGTTTTGTTTACGAACCATCACTTATCCCTCGCACAGAATCAAATGGATGATCATGGGACAATCATTTGGGGATACATGATGGGAGCATGGAAATTGTAGTGAGGTGACATCTTTCTGTAATTTATTCCCTTCATTTCATCTTCCATCCCACCCTCTAATTGTAACCATAAGGAATCTTAACTGGGGTAAGCTTTGAGGTACATGGAAAGCGATTTTTCCGCTTCATTTGCCAAATCTGCCGCTCTTAAAAGAGATGCTTGGCTCTCCTCCTCTCCTTTCAATAGTTTTAATCACATTGAGGTGTCAGCCGCAACTGCTTGACAACCTCAGTACAAAATACTTGGTGAATAACCCCATCCAACTTCCAAAAGGCCATCACGGTCAGCCGAGTGCTGTGGAAGTCAAAGGATGCTGTAGAATTGTGGGATGAGTAGAAGAGGTGGTAAGTGCATTGCTGTGGGACAATCAACAGTATGGGTGCTAACTTGACGAAGCTTCAATTATGGAAGTCTCTTCTCATCGCCACGGTGTCAGTCTGCCAGTCACTCAGTTGACTAGCAAATAATCCAAGAATGCACGACCCCTTCTTGTGGCCCAAGTAAAGCAAGTGAAAAACAAGCTGACAAGTCTTTGATTCGATTGCCTGTCATCCGTATAATTACTGCATGAGTGAGATCCTCCCTACTAGCCCACACCACGACTCTCTTCCCATTTGATGTAGGTGTCAACGAATTGAAGCACTTCATTGCAGAATGTTGGGCGTGGGTTGCCATTCCTGAATTTCCTCTGACAGATTGGACTATTCTCCTGAATGATAAGATTCTATCCATTTTCCACGTTCTAACCAATAATCTCTATCCAGAGGTCCGAAACTGGAGGTAGAAAGGACTAGTGACATGGATTTCAAAAAACTGCCCGAGAACGCCAGATTTAACGTGTGCTTCCATACCCGACGAAAGAAAACACAGGTGATGCTTAGTGCTTAGACTCAGTGCCTTAAATCGGCTGCAGTGAGAGTTATCGCAACCCTCGAAATCGGCTCTAAAGGATGCTGTGCAACACTAATCCAACGCATTATCTCACAACAAAATAGTAGACTGCGCGGGTCGGACAAAGTGTGCGGCCAAGAAGAATGAAGGAATTGACGCTTGTCCAGTTTTGACACATTTAGTCAAAATATTTTATCACTGTGAATTAATATTGTTTGTAATGTAGAGACGCTTGAAGTTGGAACTAATCAGAAGATGCAAAGGAGATGACATTTAAAAGGAAGCGGTATTAGCGATAAGACATTTCTAGTATATATAGAACCAGCTTTAGATGTGTTCCCCAAAGTAAATTTTCCACTCGGCACCAAAGATATTTGAAACTTTGCAGATAATATTTCCTTTACGCAGAAAGGCAGCAGCATCACTGGGACTTTTCCTTCACCGAAGACAATTTTTGGCAATATCTGTAACGTTGACAACCTCTGTTTACAATCTAGCTACGTTACTAACATCTAGAGCATAAAACGTAGGAGGTTTCTGTCTTAGCAAGCTAATTCTTTCTCATATAAAGATGTTAAGATGAGAATATAAGTGCCTTTAAGGCTAAACTGATCTGGCAACCACTAAGACACCTACCATCCCATTTGCTAGAAGAGGTGAATAGTCTAGTTTACTAGATGCTCAAAGATGACGCCGTATAACTCTCTAGGTAACCATGGTCCCCACTGACTGCTCTGATTTAGAAAAAAGACTGAAAGCTTCGTCAATGCATTTATTGTAGAATAGGAAAGCAGTGTTAACTATCTATCTATATAGATGATTCGTTCGACTCTCTACGCAGGTCATAGTGGTTGCCCATGCCGAATTTCAAATCGAGGTGGTAGAGGCGGGTGAGGGAAGGACGATATTGTAAGTTCAAACGCTGCCTTTTGGATTCGGCAACGCAGCGTCCGCTTTTAACGACTTATGCAAACATTTCCAATTAGGTTATTCTCCAGTCATTGTTCAATTTTACTTGGTGAAGTTGTTGAGAATCATAATGCTGGTGTAAAATTTGTGATAATTCGCCCAAGTCCGAAGAAATACTAGTTCTTACGATCTTCGGTTGCCTTTTTGAGACCTACGGCTATGTCAGCTGGGATGGCGGTGTCAAAAGACCTGACCAACAGCAATTTGTCAGCCGAAACTTCGTATTTTCCTAGGCACAGTGGGCTGCTACAGTCGAAATGCTTTAGCCAAAATCACAAGTTGGCAACAAATATTCACTAGAAGGTGGGTCAAAAAGAATGTAAATTGCGAGAAAGAGCAAGAATGCTTAAGCAGTCATTAATTTT